GAACTCCTAAGAAGAGGGTAGAGAGAGGAAAAACAGGAAGACTTCAGATGGGACCATGGAGAAGTCCAGCATTTAATGATCAATAGAGGAGAAGAAATGTGTAGAGACAGAGTAGTCAGAGCAGGGAAGCCAGCACAGGCTATGCTGTGGGAGCCACGAAAAAACGATGTTTTAAGGAGGGAGGAGGATGGCCAGCAAGGCCAGACGCCCCTGAGATGCTGAACAGGGTAAAGGCAGCCGAGTGACCGTTGGTTTGGCAACCCAGAGTTCAGTGGGCACCCAGCTGATAAACGGGAAATCAGACTGGACTGGGTTAATGAGGAAGTGGGGAACTGAGACATAAATAGGCCTGTAATCATTACAGAAATCAAACCAGAGCTACAAATCTACACTCATCCCAATGACAGACCAAAACCACTAGGTGTTTGCTAAATTCTAGCATACCATCAAGATACAGGCAATTTGTTTCTTCTATAAACTGTCTCAGACTAGAAAAGAAGGGAAAGGTCTTCAATTTATTTTATGAGGCTGTTATAACCGCATCATGTTTGGTCATGTTATAACCAAAATCATACAAGGATTTTATGAGAAAAAAATTATAGACCAGGTTCATTTCAGTTCACAGATATAGACATTCTAAGTTAAACAATCCAATAACATAGAAAAAATATTATTTCATGACTAAGTAGAGTTTATTCTGAGAGGCCAAGATGGTTCAACATTAGAAAATATATTAATATCAACATATTAACACATTGAAAGAGAAAATACTATAGTATTATCTCAACAGATTTAGGATAAGCCACTTGGGAAACTAGAAGGTGGCATGGTGGTTAAGGTGCTGGACATTGTCACATGGCTGACCACAGTTCGAGTCCTAGACCCGGTGGTTTGCTTTCTCACTTTCCCTCTCTGTTTCTCTCTGGTCAAATTAAAATAAATGAATGAATAAATAAAATAAATAATTCTTAAAAAAATTTTTTTAAAAAAGAATAAGCCACTTGGTACTATTCAAAATACACATATTCATGATTACAAAACAACTCTTAGTAAGCTGGGAATAGAAGAAACTTCCTTTTGCTGATGGAAAAAACCTGCGATAAACATTAGTACTTAAAGTCAGTGTGATTCACTTCAAATTGGCAATAAGATAAAGATTTCCACTATCGCTGCTCTCACTGCATAATAAAACACAATAAGAAAAAGTAGTAAAAGTTGTGAAATTAGAAATACCACCATCATTCACTAAAAATATGAAACAGAAAAATCATGCAGAATCTGAGATATATCATTGTAATGAATGTTAGCAAGGTTGCTAGATACACCCCAAATATAAAAATCAGTGCTATTCCTGCCTACCGGGCACAAAAACATTAAATACTGTAATAAAAATTTATAATAGCAACCAAAACATAAACTGTCAAGGACTAAGAATCTAATAAAAGATGCATAAGACCTTTAGGAAAAAAAATGATAAAACTACACTGAGTTATGTTAGAAAAGGAAAGAAAGCAAATAGAGATCCCATGTTCATAGTTAGGAAGCCTTAATAGCATAAAGCTCAAAGAAGACTCCTAAGTCAAGAAAGTCAAGAGTTTTAAACAAGAATCTTAACAAGGAGTTTCTCCCTACCAGGTACCAAGTGAGATGAGGGGTCTTCTATATGCCCTTCTATAAAGGAACCCAGCTCAGAAGTAATTCTCTGGGCGCTCTCTATCCTTTCACTCACTCCCAGGAGAGCAGGGCCTTTTCCGATTGGCGAATTTACAGGGCAAAGCAGAAACTGTCTTCTCGGCTTAGCCCCACCTGGGTTCCTATAGAAGTGTCATGTGATCATTCGCTACAGTCCAGGTAAGGGCCTGCCTCTGTGGGGAAAGCCTGTGTTTCTGCAGTTTACAGAGTGATGGTGAGGACACGTTTAATTTGAGTGATGTCTTTGCAAGGCCCCTCCTGTTCTTTTTTAAACAAGAGAGAAAGACAGCAAGAGAGCAAGCATGCAAGGATGAGGGGGAGAGGCAGGAAGAGAGAGAGTCAGAGGGAGAAACAGGCATATTCAACAGGGCCTGCTATTATAACCCCCTGCTGCAGCTAGGATCACAGGCATGTTACTGCACCCTGCCAGTTCTGGTGTTCCAGCATCTGAACTCAGACCTCCCTGGCGCCCCAGCCACCACTGCTTGAGCCACTGTAATTGGGTTGGGTTTATAAGCCCTTTTTTTATTTTTACATTTTTTAGATTTTTGCCATAGAGCTCATGCACTCACTAGAGAGAGAAAGAGAGATGGAGAGTGAGAAATCACCCTGCAATGTCTTCTCCTCCATTCTCCTCTCAGGATTTTGGGTAGGCATGCACATATGCTCAGTGTGTTTTTCAAGCTGCTGGGTCTGGACGTTGAACCACTGAGTTGGCCACTATAACGCCTGGGTCTTAGAAACCCTTTTTTTTTTTTTTTTGGAGAGGTTTTTGCTATAGGGCGTGTGTGCTTGCCAGACAGACAGAGACAGACAGAGAGACAGAGAGACAGAAAGCGAGAAATCACCCCCTGGGGGGATGGCCACACCGCAATCCCTTCTCCATTCTCCTCTCGGGATCTTGGGCACGCACGCACACGCGCCTGGCCTGAGTTTTAAGCCACCGGGTCCAGGACGTGAACCGCGGTGGACTACATGGGAGTCCAGCTACATAGCCATTACGCTAACTGCTGGTCCCTAGAAACCCTTTTATTACAGATCTAAGCCCACATTTTCCAAACAGCTTTATCAATTATCAACTGATAATTGTGATTTGTATTAGTCTGCCTTTTGTACCCTTCTCTTTTACATGGTTCCTAAAAGGGATGTTACTTATTTGGCATCCTCAGACCTCAACAAGACCTAGAGAAACGTCATCTTATAATACTTAAGACTGTGTTGTTAGCCTGGGGATACACAAATAAGACAATGAGCAAAATAGGGAACAGGTTCATGTACCTGAGGGAACTGGGCACAAGAAAGAAAATGCATTTTTTAAAAAGAATGATTTATCTTATTTTATTTTATTTAGTTATTATTTTTGCTGCAGGGCATGTGCGCTCACTAGAAAGAGACAGGCAGAGAGACAGAGAGAGAGAAAGTGAGAAAGCAAGCTGCCAGGTCCAGGACTCGAACCATAGTAGGCCATGTGGGAATCCAGCTATCTTAACTACCATGCCACTTGCTGGTCCCCAGAAATTGCATTATTAATCAGGGAAAAAAGACAGAGCCCTCAATAGGTGACTAGGGACAATTTTCCATCTGTATGGCAAGATTTACCTAGTGATTAACCAGGTAGTGTTGTGGGCTGCCTCTTTTCATGAATTTCAGTTTTTACCATTTGTGTCAGAAAACTTTTCAGTCATTATATTTACAGAGACCACAGATCCCAAGGGCAGGCTTTAGCCTTAGACTTTCTGTCAGCTTTCAGCCTCCCATCAAGAGCTTTATACAGAAACAATGTACTCAGATGTCTGCTAGCTCACTTTTATTATTGTTGTTATTATGATTATTTTGAGAGATTTTATTTTTTTATTTTTTGCTATACGACACATGCACTTGCTGGAGAGACAGAGAGTCAGAAAGTGAGAAATCACCCCCCCCCCCAAACCGGGATGGCCACACCACAGTCCCCTTCCCTCCATTCTCCTCTGGGGCTTTTGGGTATGCACACATGCACACCCAGAGTGAATTTCAAGCTACAGGTCCGGCACTCAAACTGCAGTCAACCACATGGGAGTCCAAGACCTCACCCACTACGCCACCTGCTGGCCCCTTGCTAGTATTTACATTAAAATTCAGTCCCTCTCTTGCATCCTTTGAGGTATCCAGGTTTCTACTAACACCAAGCTTTGCTGATTATTTTGATATTCCAAATAAAATTCTTTAAACCGTTGTGTACTTACTTAACAGAAGAGCTGCCTAAAATTGATGTCTGGAACTTGCCATTTTGAGGATCATACAGGACAAAACTACAAATTTCAAAGCCCAGACTGACCATAGATGTGGCTTTTTCATTATCCTCAAAGGCTATCCTTACGGCACAGAAGAAAATAAAACCAATATTGTGCCTTCTCCCTAACCCTGAAATAGTTTTTCCATCTAACACCTCATTTCATCCTCACAACAAACTGGTGAGATGAACAGGGCAGGATTACAGAAGAGGAAATAAAATTTCAGAGAGGTAGGATTTCAAATCCATATAACAGATTAGAAAAAGATCTGGGATCAGGAGCCAGCGTTCTTTATGAGAGACCATGCTGCTCCCAGCTGTCTAACAGAAGGGCCTGGTTTCCACTCACGTGACTTTGTGAGTTGTTGCCCATCACCCAAGGATTCTAACTTCAGGAACCACTAAATGGCTAGAGCCAACAGCTTTCTGTTTAAAGTCAAGTGCATCAATCTAACGTCTTTGTATCAGACTTGCCTTCTCTAGTTCTTTTGTTAAAAGGATCATGCTTATCCTGACAAAGCCCTTCAGGCAGCAGCCTGCCCTTACAGTACCCAGGCACTGACCCCAAGTATCAGAAGCATTTTGATGTACCCCTCCTGCTCCTGACGACCTGGCCGCCTTCTTGTCTGCTTCTCTCCCTTAACTCTGACAGCCACCACCCTGAACTTGTTCTCTGGTCTTTCCTTCTCTTGCTTTCTGAACAAGTCCTGGGGGCTCTGTGTCTGCCTCCCAGGAATCATACTGACTCCCCGCCAGTCTGTCTCAGCAACGCACTCAAGTATCTCTGCCGGCCTGCTTCCCAATGTCTGAACGATGCCGCTCTGCCCACACCACCCACCTGGGATGCTGCATCCTGCTTGGTCAGGAGGGGCACTGATCTACACAAGGGTGAGTGCTGCCTTTCCTTCCCTTCAGCTGTCTCGCTACAGAGGAAAACCCAGAAGGTGGGCGTGGAGCAACAGCACAAGGCAGGAAAAGTCCTCAGGATCCCAATCCACATGTCAGCTTTACGGTTTTCAGAGAAACAGGTACTCACCACCTGACCATCAGTCCATGCTCCATGAAGTTTTTCAGGTTTGGAAGGGTCTGCCTCAAGTCTGGCGTCCCCAGTCCATGTTGATATCTCAGCTGCAAAGGTGAAGAATGGCATTAAAAGACATTCTGGCAGATTCTAGGCCATACTTCAGAAAAACGAACCCATGCACAAGTTTGTTTTGTTTTCTTCTTTAATTCTAAAAGAGGGAAGGTATGATCCCCACATCGACCACTCGTCTGGGATGATATATAAAAACGTCTTTGTCTCCAACTCCCTGGCCCCATAAACTTGGAGAAGACCAATACGAGTAACTGGAACCAAGATATTCAAAGACCCCTGTTTCTAGTCTTCTTTTCTACTCCCAGACCCTGGTAGGGTTTGCTAACATCAGCTCTAAGACATACCATAAAGCCAGTATTCATTTTAGACACTGGCGGCTTCCCTTCTTTCATTGGCCCTTGCCTTTGTGTAATAAACAAGGGAGAGGACCATCTTCTAATCATCTCTGATCCCGGAGAGTCTGGAATAGTGCTGGTACTCAGTCAATGCTTATTACACAAATAAGTAGCAAGTCACCTTTGACAGGCACCATGGGCGTGTCTGTTGGGTGCCTCTCTCCTCTTTATCTAGAACCAGAGCACACGGCTGGAAAGCTGGTATGAGGAAACTTCGAGCTTAAGGGTAGATTCACCCTTCACTTATCTCTGCCAGACACTGATTTTCTCTTTTCTTTAAAAAAAAAAATTTTTTTTTAAGTTTATTTCTTAAGAAAGAGAGAGAAACAAAAAGATAGGCACTCCAACACGGTCTTCACACCACGATCCACCCAGTCTCAGCTGGCCTCAGATCACAGGCGCAGACGCATACACCTGGTGTGCTTAGAGAGGCCCTAGGGCGTGAACCTGGACCTCTCCCATGTAGGTCCAGCTGTGTTTCACTGTGCCACTACCTGGTCTCCAGAGACCAGTTTTCTAAAGTCCAGTATTCTTCTGTGCATCTTGGGTAACTTGCTTAAGGGTTTTTGTCTGTCTGGCCTTCACCTTCTCACTCTGTCTGAATTATCACCATTATTCCTTAACTGACCATAATGAGTAGCTGAGCTGAGTGCTCAGTGCTTGTACCTATGAACACACATGCTCGTTTATACGTTGAATCCACAGTGAGTGGACAGCACAGCCCTGGAAATGTCCTTCGCATGACATACTACATACGAAGAAAGTTTATAAACTTTATCAATTGTATACTGTATACAAATGTACGGTCTCAAGGCCCTCTTCCTTTTACAGCACTTAAATTTAAGAGTGGCTAAGTCAAACTTTTTAACATTTCCTCTCTTAAAAAATAAAGCTACTACCAATGAGAAAAGTTTTCCTTCTGTGGGATCAGCAGTTAGCATAATGGCTATGTCGCTGGACTCCCATGTAGTTGACCGCGGTTCGAGTCCTGGACCCGGTGCTTAAACTCACATCAGGCACGTGTGCGTGCGTGCCCAAGATCCCGAGAGGAGGATGGAGGAGAAGATTGCGGCGTGGCCATCCCCCCTGAGGGGTGATTTCTCGCTTTTTGTCTGTCTCTCTCTCTGTCTTTCTGGTGAGTGCATGCACCCTATAGTAAAAATCTCTTAAAAAAAAAAAAAAGAAAAGAAATTTTCCTTTTGATTGCAATGAGTATTCAATTAATTTTTCCCTGGGAGTGAGTGGTACTTAACAGAGAAGGAGTTCTCAATACCCCAAATCTAACTGGGTCTCTTGAATGGTCTGAATGAATACACCCATCCAGTAAGAAGGCAGAAACAGGGGGACCAGCAGTTAGCATAATGGCTATGTCGCTGGACTCCCACATAGTCGGCCGCGGTTCAAGTCCCGGACATGGTGGCTTAAACTCACGCCGGGCGCGTGTGCGTGCATGCCCAAGATCCCGAGAGGAGAATGGAGGAGGAGGGATTGCGGCATGGCCATCCCCTCTGGGGGGTGATTTCTCACTTTCTATCTCTCTGTCTCTCTCTGTCTGGCGAGCGCATGCGCCCTATAGCAAAAACCTCTCAAAAAAAAGAAAAAAAGAAAAAAAAAGTAGGCAGAAACATACAGTGTTAAACTTAAAGGTCCTTTATCTTGAAAATTATTTAAACTAGGCCTTTTCTTTTGCAGATAGGGAACTGAAGCCCAGCAAGACAGTGTAAATTCCCTAAGGCCACATGGTTCAATGACAAAGGTATTATTAGGGCATCTTTTCACAAACAAGGCTTCTCTACAGACTATCCATAAGTCTAAGAACCTTGGTAATGGTACTTGAGAAGACAGAGGAAAAATATTCAAGCTTGTTTCAAGCCTGGCTTGGTGACCTAAATCACCTCCTGAGATTTGCAGACCTTGACTTATAAGATCTACCCCATATTAAATGACATCATTTCTTGTATTAATATAAAAGCATTTCCCCCTATACATTGATAAAAGCAAAATGGCTGATATCCCAATATGACATTCCTGAATTCATTGTTTCAATAAAAAGGCAAAATTGTTTACACATGGCATGGAAATTTCACCTGTGATTCATACTAAAAAATATTAAATATCAAAAAAAATCATACTGAAATAACACCAAGCTCTGTGTTTCTGAGCCTGCACATTGCCAATTGCCTGCCCCGGGCTCCGCAGTGGAAGGTGGGTTTTGAATTCTTTTTAGAGACCACAGTGAAATTTTCTCTCCAAGTCTGGTTTCAACCAGACAAGGAAAATGTAGGGATGTTAAGCCTCTACCCAGGTCTTAACTCTTCATCGGCTGAATAGCACTACTATTTTTATCAGAGAATCTTAGGATTTCATAGCTTGAAGAGACCCTGGAGATGACCTTTCCAACCTCCTTCCTTTTATAAATGAAGAAACTAAGATTCAGAACGGTTAAGTGTCAGCTCACTATCACAAAGCTGAGAAGTACAGAGCTGAGGATAGAATTCCCTTTTCTTTCTTTCTTTCTTTTTTTTGTTTCTTCTTTTTTTAAGATGTTTGCCATGTGGTGCACATACTCGCTGAGAAAGTCAGAGAAAGGGAAAGTGAGAAACCACCCCCGGGGGGCTGGGGGGCGGGGATGGCCATGCTGCAATTCATTTTCCTCCATTCTCTTCTTGGAATTTTGGACATAAACGCACACGTGCCCTGCACGAGTTTCAAGCCACCAGGTCTGGGATTTGAACCATGGTCAGCCACGTGGGAATGCAATGCCTTAACCACCATGCCGCCTTTCTACCATATCTCCTTTTTAATTTGCAACATAGAGAACTAAAAAGAGAAAAGTACACATAATATATATTTCTTAATTTAAGTTTAATGAATAAAGTACACGTACTCTTTAACAAGTCTAAATTCTATAAGGTTGGTAATAAAAATATAGCAGTTTTCTACTCTTCAGTGGCAACCACTTTTGGCTGTTTCTTCTTTACCTTCAAATCTTTTAATAATATCCTTACATTAATATTTCTTATCTCCCCCCGCCCCCCAGTTTTAGACTTCATCCACTGTTTCCTACTATGAAAAATGAGAATTTTGCTTCATACACCTTTATTTCTCATACGAATATTTTATCCTCTCTACCATACGTTATCTACAGACTTTTTACTACAGAATGAGTCTGTGACTCTCCACCCTCCCACACATACTTTTCTTCCTCATCCTCTCAATATATTCAATATTACAATTTTTTAAAACTTTTCTTTCTTTCTCCCATGAGAGATAGATAGACAGAGAGAGGCATCCCCCGACAATAGGCCCTTCAACCAGCAATCTGCCCACAGCCTCGGCTGGCCTGGATCACAGGCCTGTGTGTTCACCTGATTTGCTCAGAAGGTCCCAGAACATGAACCCGGGATTATTTCCATCTGGGTCTAACTGTGCCACTGGTTGGCCCCCAATAGCACATTATTTTGTTAAATCAGTACTTAGTGTTTACCGCATCACACACATACACAAATACTGTTCATTACGGAATCATGGACTATATTATTTTATTTGTACTTCTTTGTGTTTTTCTGAAAAGTGATAACTGCCATTTTTTTTCTTCACCTGTTGGGATTTTCTACGTGCCTAACACTAAATATTCCACAAACGCTCACAAAATCTTAAAAGTCTTCTCACCCTGACTCATTTGCCATATATACATCAAGTCCCTTTGTCTTCTTAGAATTTCCTGAAGCCCCCTCCCCCTACTCCAATCTGAACTGGCTGCTGGAGAGGCCGGCTGCGTTGCTACATTTTTAGAAGTGCCCTTCCTCACAATCCTGGAAATTTCACTTCTTTCTTATGTCGAAGCTTATGTTTCCCAGATGTTGTATCTTCTTTTTTGATCATCTTAGGGGAATGTATTCCATAATATCTTCCTGGGAAAGGGTGATGGAAGGTAACCTTTTTGATACCTTGAATATTTGAGAATATCTCTATTCCATTCTTATAGTTGAATGACAGTTGCCTAGGTATAAAAAATCAAGGCATAAAATAATTTTCCATCAGTATTTTCAAAGTACTGCTTCACTGTCATTTAACTTTGTATTTGAAAATTGAGAAACCTAATAACATTCTGATTGCTGATTCTTTGTATATAAGCTGATTCTTCTTTCTAGAAGCTTTTTTTTTTTTTTGAGAGGTTTTTGTTATAGGGCGCATGCGCTCACCAGAAAGAGAGAGACAAAGAGACAGAAAGGCAATGCCCCAATCCCCTCTTCTCCATTCTCCTCTCGGGATCATGGGCACACACGCACACGCACCCGGTGTGAGTTTAAGCCACTGGGTCCGGGACTCGAACCGTGGTCAACTACATGGGAGTCCAGCGACATAGCCATTACGCTAACTGCTGGTCCCCTTTCTAGAAGCTTTCAAACCTTACTTTTCTAAAATTTCACAGTGAGAAGTCTTTGAGTCTTTTTTCATTCATTTAATTTCTTGTCATTCATTGGGCCAGACGCTTAGTGCATCCTTTCAATAGAAAACTCTTATCCTTGAACTCTGGTCATTTTCTATTATTATTATTTCATTTCCTCTTCTCTCATTTTCTGTTATCTCTGGGTTTTCATTCTTTTTAACTTTTTGACTTAAAAAAAAATGTA